CCCCAAAACCCCAAAACCCCAAAACCCCTGGACAATCAGGGTTTATTGAGAATTATTAGGCAAGATTTTTATTAAAAATTTAAGATTCCATGGCTATGTAGGTGAACCCAACTTTGGACATTTTAGAAGTGATGAACGAAGAAATTTCTGGTGGGGTTTTACTGTTTAAAATATATTACACTTGCAACATGTTGATGTGCTTTTGTTGTAGATTAAGTCATCATCTTCAGTGTTCTTCCTGGGCTTTACCTCTTCATCTACTGTCACCAGGTATCCTAAGGAGTTAATCCTCTTGAAAGTGCTAGAAGACTTCTCATTGCCTGTGGTCTGAGAAGCATTTGATTCTCTTACGCTAGGGTTTTGGATATTTGGCTGCATTCCTGAGTCCTGATCCTTTATGGCAAGAGTCGGGTTTGAGACATATAAGGTAAAGTTCTTCTCCCCAATGGTTGAAACGTTCTGATCCATAGAAAAAGTTGGAAGGTCCTCATCAGGTTCTCCTGTATCCTCATCGTCAGGGTATCATAGCTCATAACATTGAGAAATCACTTCTTCAGAGTCTTCTAGGTAATACTGACTTTCTTGCTTCTCAAGAGTTGAGTTAAACTCATTTAGGGCATATTTTATCAGATCTTTTCACTCAGTATTCGAGTTTACAACAATATTTATCTTAGTTTTATTTTTAAGAACTTTCTTCAAAACTTCAGATAGGCCTAAACTGATTAGTCGTTTGACAAATTAAGAATTTTGGAAATACTTTGGGGTAATAGGAATTTTGGCATTTACCTCCTGAATTAAAGTACAAAAAGACTTGTAGGTTCACCTCTTTAAAGCTCTCTCCAGAGTCGACTGAGTTCGTTGCTATAAAATTTGTGTTAGAGGTCTGTGCGTTGAAGAAATTCAGAAGGCATCATAAGTTGCTCTAAATGGGAATTTAAATCCTAGTTTCTTAACCAAAGTGGTCATCACCGGCTTTCAAATTTCTAGTAAGCTGCCACTATTTGTGGCATTTTAAAGATTTTAGCATCTTTGATGCTAATCTTGTTTGATAAGAAATACAGTTATTTAAGAATTATTCTAAATTGTTTGAAGAAGAAAATATTTTAGCTTCCCAAATCGTAAAATTTCAAGTTATGGGAGCTCTTTTAGTTTTAATAAAGAATATCAAGGAGCTAATTTAAGGCCAAGATGACAAATTCAGTACGTTTAGGCATGAAATCAGGGTCTATAAATCCGCTATCTCCATTATCAGTCATTTTATCGATGAGGCAGATCTAGTTGTATTATTTCAATTATTAATTCTATATTGGGGTTTTGGGGTTTTGGGGTTTTGGGG